GGGAATGAGATTTGAGGGGTATTGGGGTGGCGAAGCAGTCTGAAGGGAGAGCAATATTTCTAGTGCAAGTTAAAGGGCTCGGATAATTTCCCAAATGGTTTCTTTATGGTGAGTATACACATGTCCAGCATGGGATTTCAGGCTTGGATTTCACAGCTTCATGCTTTCCCACCATTCATATTAAAAGTTTGAAGTCTAGGAGCAAGTTTGGTGCAGTGTTTGCTTTAATCGTGTGCACTTTTAATTTTCCTTAATGTTAAACCAGGTGTCACATGTGTGTAACTTCAAAGCGCCTGCGCTTTCAGTGTTGACTGTTGAACCAGTAATTTTCTTATAATTTGATGCTTCCTACCGGCAGGTGTGTCACCCCTTGTTGCGGCTATGGAGACTCGTGGAGTGGCAGGCCCTGTGGTTCAAGAGGATATTGTGTAGAATATGGTATGTAACAATTTTTTTTCTTCACATCGCAGTTAAAGGTGTGAATCTTTTATCTTGTCTTTTTCCTAACCGTAATGGCTCATTCACACGAAATTTTGACGCTGGGCGTCAAAATTTGATCAGATTATTTTGATGCTCGAACCACAATCGCAGACTTTTGACGCTGGGTGTCAGAACTCTGTGGAATATCCTGTGGCAAGCGGATCGATCAAAGACCCTTTTGATCTTTTTTTTTCTTTTTTGCTGGAGAAAACTTTTCAATTAGAACAAAAGGCAGGAATTCTATTGCCATATGTCACACCAGGGAATGTCAGCTTATGTGCAGCAAGAAAATGAATTTCGGCGGCGCGAGGATGTCTCGTGCAAGGCTCTGTCACATGCCTCCTCAGCTTGCAATGGCCTTGCCGCTTGCCTTCCTTGTCTTGCTCGGCCTTTTCTGTCCTCAGCTACAGTTGGTTTGCGACAGCACACTGCCTTTTGGTGCCAGGGTAGGTAGATGCAGCTTTTAAAAAAGGTCTATTGCATCCTTTGTGATATAGCAGACGTTCACAAATCATTTTAAATCTCGTTTAGCAGACGATACATCAATGTCTTTTTTGTTCTGTTTTCGTCGGTGATTGACACTTCATGGCAGGCGAAACCAACACAATTTAGACGAACTTGAGGTTTTAGCACCGATTTTCCATGTTACCTAAAAGGAGTCAGTGTGAAGCGCGGATTGAACACGAGTGTCATGTCAGCCTTGACTGCCCATTCGGTGAGAACACGAGTCGCACCTGATTGATGATGCTTCACTAATTATTAATCTTAAATCTGTGTTCTGCTCGGTCCCCCTTTTGGTCACAGAAAATCCAGTGCGTTGACTTCCCAAACTCTTCTTTTTCTCGCACTGACAGGCAACATATTTGCAAACAGTCTTTTAGCTCCTTCACTCTTGCCAAGACGAAAATCAGACCCCGTGCTGTGGACAGCTTTCGTTCGGTGCTCGCATATTTCTTGGTTGTCACTGAGCAATGAGCATAGGTCACCTACTCAAAGTAATGCATGGTGTTTGTCAAAAGTTGAGCTCCTAACTTCCTCCGCCGACGCACACTGGCACGGCAGGGTTGTACTAAGGAAACTGATTTCCCAGATACATCATATGGGAACGGCAGGGAGTAGTAAGCCTCAACATTATAACTTACAGTGCGACTAGGACAAAGACAGACAGAGGAGAAAACACAGGACAAGCGCTGAACTGGCAACTGATTCTATTGAAAAGAAAATACATATGATGCTGCTGCTGCTCAGGCAGGCATGCCCCTCCGTGGCCCTGGCGCTTCTTCTTTTACTCAACACGATACCAGCCGAGTTATCCGAGATCCGAAAAGCCGATCTCGCTGTTCATCAAAGTCACTGTGGGCTGGCTCACACACAGAGATCCGTTTTGTGTTATGTAGTATGTCTCCATCATTTCTCGGGGTAGTTTTTGGTTGTGTCGGAACATCACTGTCGTGTTGTTAAAAAAGGGTTGGCATCCGCAATCCCGGCAATGCATCGCGAGATGTGTGTGAGCGGTTCCTTTTGTAGAACTGTGGTGTTCTTGTAGTCTTATCTTGAGGCAACGCCCAGTTTGTCCTATGTAGGCACGCCCGCAGGAAAACGGGATCTTCTAGACCACACCTTTTATGCAGGCGACAAACTGCATTCCGTGTTTGATGCTGCTGCGGCTGAGATGTCGGATCGTCATTTCTCGCACGTTTGTTGACTGTGGAGCACACAGAGCCGAGATTGTGACAGGCGGAAAAATCAACATTCACATTGTATCTCGAGGCAGCTTTCTTGAGTCCGTGGGAAAGGCGGTGGATGTATGGTATGACTGAAGTTTTCCTTTTCTCTTTCTGCTCGAGGTCACATTGCTCGATCTCTGGATCTGTTTTAAGGTATTTCACGATTTTTTCGCAAGTTGAAGTAATGACCGAATTAAGATACCCCAAATCCTTGAGCCGTTGAATTTTGGAAATGAAGTGGGAACTCAATTTGTGGATGCATGTGCTTGTTAAAGCTGTCCTCAGACAGGGAAATGCGATGCCTTGTTTGACGAGTTTAGAGTGGGCTGACTGAAAGTTTAGAAGAGCCTTTGCTGTTCTGGGACTGTAACACCAGCAAACATGATCATCCCCCTCTTTGATGCGGAGATCCAGGAACTCAATAAGGTTCTTTTTTGGGGCTTCATAGGTGAATCGGAGTCCTTGCCTTTTTTTCGTGAAGATCTTCAGCACATCGTCAAGCTTCTGATGGAAATTAGCCCTCTCAACGAAGACCAAATAATCGTCTACGTACCTAAACACTTTTTTGGTGTTTTTCTCCAAGCAAGGTTCCAGATCCCGATGGATCGTGCCTAGGAAGATGTTACTGAGCACAGAGGCTACCCTCGACCCTATGCATACTCCGGACTTCTGTAGGTACACCTTGTCCTGCCATCCGATGAATGTGGATTTCAGCCCACTCCAAACTCGTCACACAAGGCATCGCATTTTCCTGTCTGAGGACAGATTTAACAAGCACATGCATCCACAAATTGAGTTCCAGCTTCATGTCCCAAATTCAACGGTTCAAGGATTCGGGGTGTCCTAATTCGGTCATTACTTCAGCTTGCGAAAAAATCGTGAAATACCTTAAAACAGATCCAGAGATCGAGCAATGTGACCTCGAGCAGAAAGAGAAAAGGAAAACTTCAGTCATACCGTACATCCACCGTCTTTCCCACGGACTCAAGAAAGCTGCCACGAGATACAATGTGAATGTTGTTTTTTCCGCCCGCCACAAGCTTAAATCTGTGTTCTCCACAGTCAACAAACGTGCGAGAAATGACGATCCTACATCTCACAGCCGCTGCAGCATCAAACACGGAATGCAGTTTGTCGCTTGCATAAAAGGTGTGGTCTACAAGATCCCGTTTTCCTGCGGGCGTGCCTACATAGGACAAACTGGGAGTTGCCTCAACATAAGACTACGAAAACACCACAGTTCTATGAAAGGAACCGCTCACACGCATCTCACAATGCATTGCCGGGATTGCGGATGCCAACCCCTTTTGAACAACACGACAGTGATGTTCCGACACAACCAGAAACTACCCCGAGAAATGATGCAGACGTACTACATAACACAAAACGGATCCTTGTGTGTGAGCCAGCCCACAGTGACTTTGATGAAGAGCGAGATCGGCTTTTTGTATCTCGGATAATTCGGCTGGTATCGTGTTAAGTGAAAGAAAAAGCGCCAGGACCACGGAGGGGCATGCCTGGACGAGCAGCAGCATCATCATATGTATTTCCTTTTCAATCAAATCAGTTGCTCGTTAAGCGCTTGGCCTGTGTTTTCTCCTCTGTCTCTCTTTGTCCTAGTCGTACTGTAAGTTATAATGATCTCTACCGTAAACTCGCCCAATTGTCCATTCTGCTAAGCCTGAACAGTTCGGTCCTTTTTTGGTGACCAAATTCGGTCGGCAGCAAGACTGCTTTTTAAAAGTGTGAACGAACCATATGTTCTAGCAAAAAATGTGCCTATTAGAGAGGTTCAACTATTAGGACCATAGCTATACTTACTGACCTTATAATGTGAGGCCTAAGTTTCCACATTCCACCAGGATGTGCGAAGAGGTAAGCATTGGAATCTATGGAAGAAGCTTAGCAATGTTGAGGCATAGAAAGGTAATGGTTCTTCAAACAGCGCTAACCGTATTGTTGGTTTCATTTCTGAATTGTTTTGTGTTGTCTCTGTTTCTGTCGTGTCCTTAAATCTCAGTGATTTGCTTTGTTCGTGGTTTGCAAGGTTTCAGCAGACCCGTCCTCTTTTTTAAAAGGTTCTTTTTTTTAATTAGATGCTGTATATGGGGTGTCTGTTCATGCAGGCTTAGGCCATCCCAACAATGTCAGGACTGCTTTCTGCTGATCATTTTCATAACCTAAATATAATTCAGTTAGAACCCAGGGAACAATTTTTGCAACAGATATATCCCTCATTGCCTCTACGCACGCCTTCTAAATTCTGGGAACTGGATGGAAATAGTGTATTAGGTTCACCACTATCTTTCGATGATTTTCCGAGTGATGCTGCCACACTCCACGAATGCGGCCAGCGGAAGTTCTCATTCAGCCACTGTAGGGCGCGCAGCATTCAATCGGTTGAGGCGTTTTCAAAGCTGGAGGATATAGTGGTGCCTCGATTATGTGACTTTCAGGAGACTGCGCGACAACATTGGATAATCCAAAAAACAACAGTTACGGGTCAAATACAGTAGAACCTCGTTGATACGATCTCGGTTCATACGATTTCCCGGCTCATACGTTCAGAATCGAGGGCTCGAAAAATGTCCCATAGAGTTACGACTGGTTCATACGTTTCTGGATAATACGATTTCCCGGGAAGTACGTCCAAAGTTTCGCTAAACATCGATCGGATTATACGTTTTCTGGGCAATGAGCTCCCAATCTTTCCGGGCAGAACGGTTGTCGCCGCACGCACCGCGCGCCGAACGTTCTCGATGTCGATGTGTTCGCTTCTTGATTTTTAGTCGTTTTCATGATAGACACGTGACACGTGACTAAGAGTCACTCTCGGTTACTCTATCAAATGCTTGAAGACACCATTTAAACTGGCTACGCGCCTCTGAGGATGATAAACGCTTCCCTAAGAGTAACTCTTGAGCCATGTACGGGTGGTAGTAAATGAACGAACCTGACAACTTTTTGTTTGACATTTCGCGAGGTCGGCATTCCGCCATTTCTCTGTTGCCGTGCCGTAGTGCGCGTCTGCCTAGCTTCTTTCCGTACCCGTGCCCGATAACCGGCGATGGCATCGCGCAAGCGGAAACCTTTGACTTTGAGGGAAAAGTTGAACATCCTGGCACTTGTCGACCGGGATCCTAAACGGAAAAGAATTGACATCGCCAAGGACCTCGGACTGCCTGCGTCGACGGTCAACACGGTCGTGTCGAAACGAAAGCAAATAGAAGAAAACGCCCTGGTCTTCGGTGCAGCGACGAAACAGGCCCGCGGAGCAAAGCACGGAGAGTTGGAGGATGCACTGCTTAAGTGGTTTAAGCAAGCACGGGCGTCTGGTGTGAACTTCGACGGCAGCATTCTGCGGGAAAAGGCCATGGAGATAGCAGACATCATGGGTATCGAGGATTTCGCAGCTTCGAACGGCTGGATGGACCGATTTCGGGTTCGCCATGGCATCTCGTACCGCCAAGTGAATGGCGAAGCAGCCAGCGTGAATCCGGCGGATATTGAAAACTGGATTTCATTGCTTCCGGGCATTGTGAATGCCTACGCCCCACGCGACGTCTACAACGCCGATGAACTTGGCCTGTTTTTCAAGGTGCAACCCACGAAGTCCCTGAGTTTAAAGGGGGAGTCGTGCCACGGCGGGAAGGTCAGCAAGGATCGAGTAACCGTGCTGCTTTGTTGCAACGAAGATGGCACGGAAATGATCAAGCCGTGGATGATCGGGAAGTGGAAGAACCCGACATGCCTGAAAAACCTTGCTCGGCTTCCTTGCGTGTATAAGAACAACACCAAGGCTTGGATGACCTGCAGCCTCTTCGAAGTGTTTCTGCGGTACCTCGACGGCCGACTGGGGTGCAAAGACCGGAAGGGGCTTCTCTTTTTGGACAACTGTTCGGCTCATCCGAAGGACACGTCGTTCCTGCGCAACCTCCGAGTCGTCTTCCTGCCGGCGAACACGACGAGTCACCTGCAGCCTCTGGATGCCGGGATCATCAAGAACGTGAAGCACCTGTACAGGAAGTGCATCGTGCGACGCTTCTTGGCTCGCGTCTCCCGAGGCGAGGACCCCGGCAAGCTCACGTTGCTTGATGCAATGCATTACCTCAATGCATCGTGGGAAAGCGTGACCAGCGAAACAGTCAAGAACTGTTTCAGGAAGTGCGGGTTTCGGCGTTCGCCAGAAGTGGAGGAGCCCGAGCCCTGTGTGAGCGGTGACCCCGACCCCTGCGAGACTGAAGATGACATGGACGAGGAGCTCCGATCCGCCGGTGCGGAGCTGGCGTTCAGCGATTTCGTCGCTGTGGACGACGACGTCCCAACGTGCGACCCCCAAACCGTTGCTGACATCGTGGCGGAGTTGCGACAGGGCCAAGTTACCGGAGACGAGCACGACGTCGACGAGGATGAGGATGAGCCAGAAACTCCTCCAAGAGCTACTTTCGCACAGGCGGTCGCTGCACTGGATGTGCTGCGGAGTTACTTTGCCACAAAAGATAACCCTGCAGCCGAGGGAGGTCTGCAGACGCTGCAAAAGGAATTGTTCCTCCCAAAAGGTCAAGGTGCGCGCCAGCAGAAGCTGACGGATGTTTTCGGTAAATGAGGTACTGTTATTAAACGTTTTTCAGCTGCACTCACGACTTTTGTTTTTTTCCTAATGCCTAGAAATGTCAAATTCGGATCATACGTTTTCCCGGATCGTACGTTTTTTTTCTCGCGTTTTTTTCGAAACGTATCAACGAGGTTCTACTGTACATACAGAACTTCCAAACAGCCTTTAAGCTGATAATCTGCTGGAATCTGAAAAAGCTAGAACCCTCATGCAACTATGAATGTAACCTAGAAATTGTGTAATAGAGGTGCCAATCAATCTTTATTATCACATTGGAACTTCAAAAGAAATCAGTGAGTTTCTGCTGACTCGTCCAGTTGTGCATAAACCGGGGATGCATAATTGGGGTTTTACTGTATCCACTGTGGGACACATTTCATTCTCGATCGCATAATGTGTAGAAGTTTCTTAAAAATTTCTGGGCGTTGCCTTTAAGGACTAGCATTTTCAAAATAAAAAAAAAACAATCAGAAAACTGCTTTAGTAAACGACGCAGATCAAGCCTGGAATGTGCTCGACAGCGGATGTTTTCTTCAGCTTCGATAACACTTCCCCAGTCGACTGCTGCAGGCTGCAAGATTGCCAATTCAGAACTTCCGGAGGCTGCAATCACAGAGTGAAGCGTAATTATAGTTGGAGGCACCTACTACAGTCCATGTGCATGTTCTCTTAAAGGGACACTTGCATGGCTGTTAGGAATATAGCTAATAGTAATCAATAATATTGATTACTATTAGCCTTGGCACACTCGCAACTGTTGTTTATTTGGAAAGACAATTTACTATGTAGGCCTCTTCGGCCAGCCTAGTCATCATCACTTCGCGCGAAGCATTTTTGTTTAATAGTGCAATTGATGCCCCACTTACACACTCTTTTCCTTTTTCCTAAATATCATATTCCTCATGCAGTTCTCTGCTTGTTTTGGCATTGTATCTGGCAAGAATCTTAACATCGTGCAACACCAAGGAACAGGGGCATTTGCTGCAGTGAATGGCGAGGTGGCCAGACAGGCTAGCTCACGCGGCAGCCACGTGCTCATGGGCACGTTCATTCATGCATCCACAAATTTATTATTGTGTTTTATGCTGCAAGGCTCAGACGGCTGCTCTATGATGTTGATTCTGTGGCAGAGCCGAGCCATCTTATTGGATGCCAAGGACACCACGGGAATGCGGTGGCGCTGACCGACTTTCCTTAATTGTGTGAAACTGAGGGTATGGTATCACAGCTGGTCTTACATTGGACCTCTCACGAGTGGGTTTGTTTATCCAGAAGCAAGCTACCTGCAGATGTGTATAATTCAGGTCGCCAAAAGCTTGTTAAATAAAGTTGAGGCATAAACAAGCCTGCTCGTGAGAGGCCCAATGTGAGACCAGATGTGGTACCATACTTACACTCATACCTGCCAACTCTTCCGAATTTTTCGTAAAATGTACAAATTGGGACTAATTTTACGATTTTACAAATCTTGCTTCAAATCTTACAAAAAAATTTTTTATTTTTTTTTGTTGTTGTTTTTGTAACTTTGTTGTTGGTGGTATCTTGTATTGCCACAAGAGGGCGATAGGTACCGTCCACAGCAGCGTCGTGGTTTTTACTATCCGTCTACCCGGTGGCCACGAATCGAAAACCAATCCAAAGCTCAAAGCCTTTGTTCGTGTGTTCGGCGGTGCACAGGTGCAAGTTGGTTCGGCGTGTTCAGACGTGGCTGGGGCCTCGTTGTTTCGGCCAGTTTCGAGGCAAAAAGTATGGCGTCTGTGTTTGTTGCACGTGTAACTGTAGCATTCTCCTTGTCACTGTGGCTTCGCGGCGCAATGCCGAACTCGAAACCTCAAAAGAGGTACTTTCAGGTGTTCCTGAAGTCCTACACGTCGAAATTTCCGTGCTTCATGCCGCCCAAAAAGCAAGAGAAGTTTGGATTGTGTAGCACGTACACGTGTGATGTAAGCGTTTCGCACGCTGGCCAGGCTGACATTAAGCTGCACATCGCTTCAGGTAACCCCCCCCCCCCCCCCCCCGGCCGCAGCCGCGCGACTTTTATGAATTTGAAATTCCACAGGTTGGCAGGTATGTACACTCAGTGTCACACAATTCAAGGAAGTCGGTCAGCGGTACCGCACTACTGTGATGTCTTCGGCACACAATAGGATGGCTTGGCTCTGCCACAGAATCAACAGGCCCAAGCCCCGCCGTCTTAGCCTTGCAGCATAAAACACAAGGATAAAATTGCTGGGTGTGTTTTGGGCGTTGTGTATCAGATACCAATATTGTGAGGGGCAGTATATGGGCCAGATGTGGGAATGACCCTGCCCGTGAGCATGTGGCTGCCACGCCAGCCAGCCTGTCTGGCCACCTCGCCATTCACTGCAGCAGATGCCTCTGTTCCCCGGTATTGCATTATGTTAAGATTCTCGCAAATACAATGACAGAACAAGCAGAGAACTGCATGAAGCATATGAAATTTGGGAAAAAGGAAAAAAGCGTGTGAGTGAGGCATCAATCGCCCTATTAAACAAAAATGCTTTGCGCCAATGTGATGGTGACTAGCCTGACCAGTGGACTTTATATAGTAAATGTTCAAACTAGCCTTATTACCCTCTTTACTATTAGCTAGCTCTCTTCATCAAACACTTCCTTACCACCAGCATGTCACGGCCATTCGTGCACATGCGCTCATCTAAAAGGCATTCATATGGATGTAATGACCGTATTTGGTTCTATTTTTATGTTTCAGATAACCTTTGGAGACATTGCGCTTCCTGAAGCGCAGTTGAAGCATGTCGACACGAAGCAGCCATCCATTTACGTTCAGGAACTCGCGGTCATGGTATTTGAAACTGAGGCCCTGACAAACTGCTGCCTTACGGGGTCGGCAATGAAGGGAAAGCTTCCTAAAAAGGGAGTTAAGGACTTGATAGGTGAGTAAATTGCCGTAAAGAGGAAATGGCAAGGCACTATTGCAATCAAACTTAACAGGAACAAATACTAAGTTTACTCTTGACATATATTGGACTTAAATCTTGGACAAAAGCTCACCAGGCAGAAGCTCACCGGTCAAAAGCTCACCACGTGAAAATTTCATGTTGGTCTTAACACGAGTGCAGACAACTTAGGTGCATGCGTGCGACACTAAAACACAACAATGAATTAAATCTGATAGGCACATGGTTTGTTGATTAGACTGGAAACAAGTTTTTCGATTGGTTAGAAGGAAATGCAGTCCCGTACAGGCTGTTTCCAGCAGTCTTGGTAGATCTCGGTGTACCTGGAGCCCCTTGCAAATATTTTCCAGACGGTTGTGGCATACCTTGAGTCAACCCAGATTGATCTTATCAGCTTCAGCTCCACTCATTTTGGTGACCTAAATTTTTGTCCCAAATCGTTGCTTCTGTGCCTGTTATGGCTTACCTGTCGACACCGTTGCATGAGATGGGGTACCACTTCTTCTAAAAATAGTGCAATGTCCATTGCGTCCGCACTTTGGCCCAGCTCGTGACTCACCGGGTAGCCAAAAAAAAGGGGGTGAGCTATTGTGTGGGTCTAAGAAAAAAACGGGTGAGCTTCTGTCCGGTGAGCTTTTGTCTGGTCACCATTGGACTTGTGTCTCGGCACTCATGGATGGTTGTTTCTTTTTGGCTTATGTTGGGGGAGGTATTTGTCTTTTTGTGTCATTACGTCTTGCGCTACACCTCTAGTTTGCAATAATGTGCCCCAGTTCTAGCATACTTTAATTTTTGCCTAGATTATAGTTCACTCTGATGTTCCTTCTGCTCAATTTTGACCGTCGATTTATATCAGCGATTAAACTTAACGAAACTTCAGTATTGTTTACTTTTGTGTACAATTTTCTGAAGATAGCTGACTGTTTACCCCAGCTTTAGGCTGCTGAATCTTTCAAAAACTTTCAGCTTGTTCAGTTGTTTTTAAAGTAATTGTTTGGTACAGTATGGCCTCAGTTGGTTTTATATCAGTAAACCCTGAATTATAATATAAAATAAATGTCAGAATCAAAATTAAAAAAATGTGGTCATCTGTGTGTTTAAAATTATTGTCTAGCTACGCTATCTCCGACTTTCTAGCCAAATATCCTGAGGCACTGGTTCTCGAACAGGGTTCCTAGTACAGTATACTGAGGGTTCTTTCAGCACCTGAACTTCCTCAATCGTTCCTATACCATTGTCATACAATCAATTGCAACAATGCCAAGAGTGGAAGGGGCTCCTCGGCTAACAATAACATTAGTAAATTTTTGTTCGCTGATGTCAGAAAGTTTGAGAGTCCCTGTCACAAAGAATGTTATGTTTGCAGGCTTTTAAAGGGGTTATGAAATAGTCCTCAGACTTCGGCCAAGTAAGTGTGGCAGTATCTCACCATCGCATGTGCAGTGAAGATCAGAAAACAATTTGTTCCAAGGTGCACTAGTTTTATTAAAAAAATTAAATAGACTTAAGCTTGGGGGGCCCCTCAACCTTTAGAGTCCTTTCCAGGTCACGTGCGTGTGACATGAATTGGGGGCCAAATGAGTGAATGACAACTTTTATAAAAACCTTAGCTTCAAATTGGGCAGATACCTGCTCAACCCGCAAACTCAACCACTCTTGGCGCCAAGCCAGTAGTTCCTGTGGCCACCATAAGCTGCATGATCAAAAATGGACCCTTTTTTCCTTTCTGATTACGCAGTGCACTCGCGACATTTTGAGGGATCACGGTGTGTTTTCTCGTACTTGTGATAAGGTAAAAGAAATAAAAGTAACGAGCTCCAGACTGTTTCCACAGTAAACTTCTTTCATGATCCCTTTAATGCATTGCAAATTGACGAAATGCCTTGTTTTACATTATTTCACAGCAGCAATATTTCACAGTTGCCAATAAACATAGTCATTGGTCCCCGTGCTCAATATATTTAGATGATTAACTTTTTGTTGTTGGTTTCTTTTTGTGAAATTTTCTAAAATTATGTGGACCTGAAGTATAATTTTAAGTAGTATTAA